TGAGTAACTTGGGACTGCAAGTATGCACCACCAGCTACTCTTTTTCTTTTTCTTTTTCTTTCTTCTTGGATTTTTTTTTTCCCCTGCAGTGGGGATTGAACCCAGGGTCTCACCCATTGCATGCTAGCCATTGTACTATTGTATCCTTTAATTTTTTTTTTTTTTTTTTGTACGAGGGATCAAACTCACAGCCCCGTACTTGTAAGGCAGGCGCTTATGCCGCTGAGCTAAATCCCCAGCCCTATGTCCTCTATTTTTAAAGAAATTACTCTGCGCTGCATTTTATAGTGGTGAGTTTTTGTATGCCTATCAGACTGACTTTTAGGCTTTTCATTTTACACTATTGGCTGAAAAAATTTATCCGCATGTGGGGCTCTTTGTCATCTGAGTACTTTGAACTAAAGGAAACTGGAAGACCTCAGATGGCCCTACTGTCCCCTTTGTCTCTCCCAACATGAGTGCTGGGATTACAGGTGTGTGCCACCATGCTTGGCAACTATTTGATTTTAAATTTAAATGTTTGTGACTATTAATCCTGATAGGCCTCTCTGTTGGATTAAGAAACACCAGACAGATCAGCAGAGCATGCTCCGTGTGGGCTTGGGACACAGAAATGTGGCCTTGGGCACTAGATATGATCCCTCGCAGGTCCTCCTGGCATGTTCTCCTGCCCTGCCCACTGGCTGCCATGGCTTGGACAGCTTTCACCTGCAGCCACTTCCGCCATGCTGCTTCTGCTTTGGAGAACTCATGAGCCAAAGCAACCCTTTAGATTGTGGATGTCAGATAATTCATCTCAGCGATAGGAAAGTGATTAATTGTATTTGTATGCTGCTGGTTTACAGAGAGGTAGTTAACTTTTGAGCATTGACCTTGAATGCAGAAATCATGCTAAATTCACTTTTACTGATTGCAATAACTCATTTGCAGTTTTTTTGGGAAATGTCTCTGAATTCAGTTATATAATATGAATAATGACAATGCTGCTTTCCCCCTTATCTTTATGATTCTCTTTTTCTTGACTTATTGCATGGCTTCCACCTCTAGTACAATGTCAAAGAGAGGTAGTGAGCGTGTCTGAGTCAGTATCAGAGAACACACCCACGCTGTGTCCCAGAAACTGTTCTCTAGGTATGAAAAGATGCACTGAGACTGCAAGCATATCTATGCTTCAAATCTTTCTGGAAGGGTTTGTGAGGAACTTGTCACCACCACCAACGCCACATCTGATTGGCTGAGGGGTTGGATCCAAGCCAGTAGTGGTCACCCCAGCTCCCAGTGGTTTGACAACTCATGCAACAGAAACATCCTGGCATAGAGACAACCTGTCTTGTGACACTTCCAGGCTCACAGAGTAGAAATGCATCCAGCTTCTCACAGCAGCCCAAAGGGCCCGACTTGGATAGTGTGGGAAGCAGTTCGCCATTGTTTGAACAGGAAGGCAGCCCAGAGCAGACTTACTCTCTCTGACTGTTGTTCCCTGAGCATTTCATGGCCCGGTTTTCCTACTGCTTCCTCTTAGGACATCTTATATGCATCTCAAAAACTCAAACCCAGTCAGGAACACACCATGTATCTTTCTCATTCTGCCTGATAAGCCTTTTTATGCTTCTCACTAATGTGCTTCAAAAATTCTTTTTTTGTGATGGAAGTCAGCAAATCTACTATCAACCCTCTTGAGGCTCCCCATCTCAACTTTTGGGGAACCCTCTTGTCCTCCGTCCAGTGACAAAAAGACTCCCACACCAGAGGAGGAGGCTGAATGGCTCATAGAAATCCTGGTTCCACCTCTGTGCTCTCCCTATTCCCCAACTCAGTGATCTCAGGGCACTCTGTCCCTGCCTGCAAGGTCAGGCAAACTCTTCCTGGGTTACAGATGACTATAAGCCTGTGACCTCCCTCTCCAGGGAGGCTGTCTTTCCAGAGCACTCAGGCAACAGGAACTCTGCAAGAATCAGGCATCTCTGCTCCCTGGAGAGTCCTCCTCTTCCCTTGTCCTGAGTCCGAGAGACAGATCCCCATCCTGTGGCTGGGTGTTACCCAAAGCTCCCCCAGCTCCTTTCCCTGAATCTCCCTTCTCACCATCCGTCAGGAGCCAAGCACAAAGGCAAAAGCACCAAAAAAAAAGGCATCAGACCCAGTTCTGCACCACCCTGGTGTCCTGAGCCCAGGTAGTATTCACTACAGCAGTTGTTAGCTGCATGCTTCCCCTTCGATAAGAGTGTTATGTAGGTTCACTATTTAATTCCCACTCTTTGGGCAGGTACGTTTTTCCCTATTTTACAGAGAAGGAAACACTGGTGCCAGTCATTTGAGATGCTTGCTAAGGTCCACAGTTGTGTCACAATCAGGATTCAAACCTAAGTAGTCTGTTTCCAAAAGCATACATTCTACTCCCCCACAGAGGCCCTGGGCAAAGTCCCTCCCTTGGAACTTTGGCTTGTGCTGTTTCTTCCTGTAGCGATGCTCCGCTGTCCTCTCCTCTTGCAGAAGGCCTCCTGCCAGGTCCCACACAAGAACCTTTGCTAACGTGTCCCCAACACACCACACACCCATCTGTGGACAGCCCCTCTGTGGACAGCCAAGCTTCTGCTTCCCTCCAGCACAGGTGCACGAGTGCCCTATTGGTCATGACCTCACTGACTGCTGAACCAGGAGCATTTCCAGGCAGCCTCAGGCCTGGGCCATGTGTCCTCGAAGCCTCCATCATGGCAGCAGGCACTTAGGGGTTCAGTGTTCCCAAGAGACCTTGCTTACGCCTCCCTCATGCTTGGGACTCCGGGTAAATCGGTCTCCCTCTGTAACCTCAGTCTCCCATTCTTAGCAAAGTCTTTCTCCTTTTCTTCCAGAGGCTCAAAGTCCCATCTGTGGCACAGGGGACTTCACAGGGGACCTTCCCAGGGCACTTTATACCAAGAGACCTGGAGCCCCTGAATGGGCCACGGGTGCTTTTTAGGATGCTAAGTTGGGCTTGGACTATCCCGGAGGAATGTCTGAGTCATCTTCCTGCCTGAGATAAAGAAAATTCAGAAAAAGACCAAGGGCCTCTGTTTTCCTGTGCAGGCCTCAGGAAAATGATCTGTAATCAAGGTCTAAAGGTCATAGTTTTTTTTTGTTTTTTTTTTTTTGTCTTTTTCCTTTTTATCGGTACCAGGGATCGAACTCACGACTGCCTGCTTATAAGGCAGGCGCTTATGTCGCTGAGCTAAATCCCCAGCCCAAGGTCATAGTTGTTGAACAGAACTGTGCACTGTGCTGTATGTTGTCCAAGTTGGGAGGCTGGACAAGGGGACAGGTGGGTCACAGGCTGGGGGCAAAGCAAGGGCCAGATCTATGGCTGTTCCCTCTCCAATCCTCAGATCCCTCATCTGTAACATGAAACAAAATCACCTTGTCTTGTCACTTAGAGGAATTCATATGCAAGCCACATAGTCTATATGGGGCTATCACTCAGCAATCCAGGGAACCAGGATCTGTCACCGAGTAAGCCCAAAGAAGTCCCCCAAAAGAGGAGATGGGGACTGCAACTCAGCCCACTGAAGTGTGCTCTTGACTTTCATCACAGAAAAAGCATTTCAGGACTCACCATTGTAAAACATAGGCAGAATTATTAGGAAAAGTTGGAAAGTAAAGGAGACCTCGAACAGTTGAAAGAACGCACTCTGATAAAGCACAGTCCAGTGGACTGTTATCTCACATCAGCTTTCTTTCCTGTTTTTTCGTTTTTGTTTTTGTTTTTTTTCAGTACTTGGAATTGAACCCAGGATCTCTGCATTGAGCTGCATCTCCAGACCTTTTTAAAATACTTTTTATTTTCAATCAGGGTATCACTAAGTCACTAACTTATGCAATCCAGATTTAAACTTGTGATCCTTCTGACTGGACCTTCCATACCTGTCTTCAGTTCTGACTTCAGAGCGCCAGAAAAATTCCTATGTCTCAAGAGAATTTGGTTCCCATGAAGGTTCATCCCCTTGTTTGGGAAGAAGGCTGCCTAGGTTCCTTCATCCTGAGGTATTTGCTCTTGTTTGAAGGAGATGATCTCATGAGGCTCTGCTTGTCCTGGAGGCTGAGGCAGTCACAGGTTTAGGACAATAGCTGGAAATGTTTCAAGGCATCTCTCCAGGGGATTCTGGAGCTGGACTTTCAGAACCTGACCTGCAAACCCTGAAAATTAATTACTCTTATCTCGGTGTCCTGACCCTTGAAGAGGGGTAAGATAGGTCAGGCGAGTTTAGAGCTAATAAGCCTTGCAGTACAGACTCTCCTGAAGTGATGACCATGCAGGGCACCGAGAGGGGCTGCCCTTCAGTTCTAAGGTGATACCAGACAGAAACCAAAGGCAGCCAGCCACTTTCACTTACCCCCTGGGCATCTGCGTCTAGGTCCGGGTTACAAATCTCCACTTGTCTTGTTTACTCCCCATTTGGGGGGGAGTTAGGAGGTCAGCTAGTCTAGCCTGGTAAGTTCTGTGACTTGGTTTGTGCCTGCTATGTGCCACGGGGTCAAGCTGGGTCTTGAGTTACTGGAATCACAGGGAGGGAGGATAAGGACCCAGGTATGAATGATCTTGGGTGCGTTTGACTGGGTCTTACAACTGTAGTTTCTGTCTCCTTTCTGCCCACCTTTATTTCTTCTATCCTACGGCAGATCAAGGCCAAACATTGGTCAGTTTCCGGTTCACAATGTTATGCAACCAGTTCTCTTCTGCCCACCGTGCTGGGTGTGAAGCATCGAACCTTTTGCAAAAGAGGCAAGCCAGCCACTTAGAGAGAGGGAAGAGTCACTCTCAGGTCTGCTTCCCCAAGAGCAGAGCTTGGGATATTTACAGGATGACGCTGGGAAAAGGTGATTGGGGTCGGGAGGTGAACGGAGCCTGCAGGTACACAAGCAAACTTCATCAGTTGTAAACATCATGGCCCCACATTGGAGGTGTGTCCTACACCACTAAAATAGATGATTTTAAAGTTATATAAAGTCAAGTAACCATGAGAGGTCAATAGGTTAGGTCTGGCGGTTTATTCAAACTGTTGTACAGATGATGTCTAGCAACCTGGGAGCAAACTATTGTTTGCTGTTCTGTTCATCTTCAAGTAGGTCCTAGCATTCAGCAGGTGACAAATATACAAAAGGAATGTTTTAGTTTTCACTCAACGCCAGTGGCTGCGTACATTTGGGCTTTCCCTCTCTGAGCCAAGCTTCTATCTGCAATGAATACAAGGTTGTTTGAGCTCCTACATTAATATCAAGGCCCAAGGAGACAGTGAATCACAATAGGTCTGCAGCTACCAGAACTAAATTGGAGTGCTTCCCCTATTACCAGTGATCTGTGCACCGATGATGATTGTTTTAACCTCTCTAAGCATCAGTTTCCTTATCTGTAAAATGGGTTCAAATTTCTCCATCTTTCAGCCTTGAGACATCAATGCAAGAGAAGAATTTGGCACAGACTTGGGACATCACAGGCGCCCCATTAATCAAAGACAACTTCCAGGCATAAGGAGGAAGTAGGGGAGCAAGGAAAGGGTGGTTTCAAATATGCATTGAAGGAACCTAGGAGAAGATACAGCAAATCTCAGCAGGTTAAGCAGAGAGCTCCTTAGAGAGGGCGGACCTGGAAGCTCAGAGGAGCACACAGAGGGCCACACAGCTAGAAGAGGCTCATTAGACCTGCCCAGTGGGGCTGGAAGGCAGCCACAGGCAAGGGGCGTAGCAGACTCCCAGATGACCCTGGGCACGGGATGCGTTTCTCAGGGTACACTTAGGAAGTGCCACTTCCTCTCCTCCTGAGAAGACAACTGCACCTAAGGCAAACAAATATATAAATCTTAGTCTGAGCTCTTTTTCATTCAGCAAATGAGCTTTTTAAAGCAGACATCTGAGTGAGTTTATCCCTATGAATTCCCATTTCACTCTCCTGCATTAAGAATGAGCCCTGCACTGTGAGGCAAGACTGAGTTCTAGATTTTTCTGGGCCTCCATTTCCCCTCCTGTAAAATGACCAGATTCTACTCAGACAGATGCCAGGAATCATGGCTAAATGGAAAGAAAAGCTGGCACAGTAGCAGTAGCACGCTACTGAAAGTCTGTGCAAAAAGCCCCCAGCAGGGCTAAGTGCAGAAAGGAAGCAGGATCACCTGGGGAAGGGGGCTGGGCTCAGCTGTGGGAGGAGGGATTTGCCATTGTTTGTTCTTTTGTGCCTTTTGAAGGCCAAATTATGCAAATGTAACTTTTTTTTTTTTTTTGGTACTAGGGATCGAACTCAGGACCTCAACACTGGTCAGGTAGGTGGTAGGCAGCTGAGCAAAATCCCCAGGCTACAAATGTAATCTTTAAAAATAAAAATAAAGAGCTGGGATATGACTGAGATAGGATGATTTCTAACATGCAGGAGCCTCCGTGTTCTATCTCTAGCATTGCAAAAAATAAAAATACATACAATGTAAACAATAAAAACTCAATAAATAAATACGTCATTGAATACCAGCATTTGGGTATTTTTTAAAAAAATTATGTCACATTGATGGAACTTTCTGTTTCCTTTTAATACAAGTTTCAAAGAAGGAATGCATTTGAAGGCAGGATCTCTGATGCTAAGAGCAATAGGTTTGGGAAACAGAGGGGGAAATATGAGAAATTGGGAAAGACAAGCTTGTTGTGAAAGGCACAGATAGGAAAGTGAAAGTCTTTCTCTCCCCAGCAGCAAGGAAGTCACAGTCTAGGGAAGATTTCTGGTGACTCACTACAGGGTAGGAGAACAAAAATATGGAAAAGAGGAAAAAACAAAAGGCAAAGTGCCCAATTTAAATGTGCCTCCACCTGAGGCATGAGAGACTTCCTGAAAACACACTCCACTGTCCCCAGACTCACATGTGAGTGGGGGCTGACACGAGAGACCTCAGTGGCACAGTCAAGCCCCCAAGGACCAAGTGCTCAGCGGGCAGGGGTGGTGCCACTTCACAGTCAGACATCAGCAGGACAGAGCTGGCCCCTGAGCTGCAGTATCAGAGACAGGAGCTCAAGAACTGAGTGCTCAGCTCTAGTATCTGCGGAAGAGACTCTCGATTAAGGCTGTTCAGTCATTTGCTCAACTGGTAAATATTTCCAGACCAGGTACCAGGCTCTGAGATCCTTGTCCAGATGGAGCAGGGGATGGAGGGGGACATGCAGCACACACACACACACACACACACACACACACACACACACGCACGCACGCGCAAAACATGCGTATGAAGCCTCATGCAGAGGCTCCCAGTTTTAGATAGGGCAGTTGCCCCCATGGAGATCAAGAAAGGCAACTCCCTTTGGGAACGCCTGGCCAGTGGAGAGACAGCTGTGAGCCAAGAGAAAAAGCATCCACCTCCTTCAGCAACTATGAACTTTTTCAGGTTGCCTGACCTAGAAAAATATTGCATCAGAGGCTCCCTCTTTTATGAGGAGGTTGTTAAACCAAGACACTTGCTCTATTTATCTGCTGTGATCTTTGGGGAACAAAGGAGGCATCAGAAGTGCTCTTTTTTTAGAATGAAAAGTAGTGTTGATGGCTTTCCTTCCTTTTACAGTAAAAGTACATTTGGAAAGACAGGGCTCCCGTAGGGCTTCTCCAGTGGGGTACCAGGCACCTGATCTATCCTGTAAGGTGATGACCTACTGGGACTCAGCGAATCCACCTGTCACATGCCCAGCACCCCTGACAGACCCCACCCCTGCCCCTACCTACACTCAGGTCCCCAAGACGTATTACTGACCATGATGCTCCATGCGCTCAGGATCATTTGCTTGATGCTCATCAAACAAAGGAAATCACTTATTTTGGTTTAAGAAAATAAAAAAGGAAAAAGGATTTACTCAAAACTGGCCCCAAGGAGGTGGAAGGGCCTCTTGTGCCTCACAGCAGATGTGCAAGGGTTGTTTATATTTAGGAGCAGAGAGAGGGGGGATTCAGCGAGACAGTGCACATCTCCAAGCTTGCTTTATTGCTCTCAGTAATCTTCCTGCTCTCCCTTTCCTGTGGAAAGGAAACTGGGCCCTGACCTCCTTGGTCACTATTTGCATAGTCTGCCACTTCATCTGGGCTGAGGAGAGGAGCGGGTGTTGGTTATTTACTCAGCAGCAGGAAGTTTGGCAAAGCCAAGGCTGCTTATCTAAAAGGAGAAACTGCTTGATTTTTAAAGAAAAAAAATCCAACTTTTAAAATTCCATTTTCCCATGCTGCCAGTAGACTTAGACAGGTTTTCTAGAATCTGAATCCCAGCAGCCGTAGAAAAGGAACTGCAAGAAGCAGGCCTCCCAAAGTCAGAAATCGGCAGGCTATCTCGGGCTAGCAAAAGTTCAGAGGGAAGCTAGGAGCTTTTTGAAGATGAGAGAATTTCCGGAGGAAGTGTTGAAACTTCGGGTGGCTCTGTGCCTGTGGGAATGGCTGCGCCTCCAGCTCCTGCCTTCCCCCAAATTTCAGCCCTTCCTCCTGCCTTGGAGACCCCACATTGGTGGGCTCGGGCCTTGGACAGCCTGCAATGCTGAGTCCCACCATTTTAGGGTCTAGATCTGACCCTGGATGGCTGGAGAAATGGAGCAGCACCTGAGGAGGCTTTCATGCCAGAGCTAAAGAGTAAATAGGATACGTGTCCCTTTGTGTTTGCTTAGGACTCCCAGTCCCTAGAGAAGATGATGCCTTTTTATTTTATTTACTTTTGTGGTACCGGGTTTTGAACCTAGGACTTTTGCACTAAGCTACATTTTATTTCTTTTTATCTTGAGACAGAGTCTCATTGAGTCACTAAGATGTCCAGGTTGAGCGTTTTCAAACTTGTACTCTTCCTTGCCTTAGCCTCCTGAGTGCTGGGGATTTAATTGTGTACCACCTCACATGGAAAACACTCATTTTAATTCTCAAGCTCTCTAAACTGCTCAGTAGAACCTTAAGTTCTCAGATCCGTCCCTGGCAGTCCTACCTCAGGGCCTTTGCTTCCCACCTCGACTGCCCTCCCCTCCTCTCAGTCCACATGATCATACCCATTCTGCTCTACCCACTTTCTCCTATATGCCTTTTCCTCTTTGGCATCCTTGGAGTTCTTTTCCACGGGTCTCCTGTTTTCAGATGTTTTAGAGGTGAGCTTTGTAGGCCAGCATTTTCTGCAAGGAATATAACACAAGCCACATATATAATTAAATTGTTCTAGCAGCAACACTGAAAAAACACATAGAAACAGATACAATTAATCTTAAATTCATATTTTTATGAAACCAACACAGCTGAAGTATGATCATGTCAACATGTAACTAATGTTAAAAATAATAAAATAGTTTGTTTTTTGTCTTTGTATTGCCTCTAAAATCCAATTTTTATTTTATGATCTATTTCAGTTCAGATTAGTCATATGTCAAGTGTTCAATAACTACTGGCTAACTAGGGACTGCTATGTTGGACAGTGCAGAGCTGGAGTGCATTTGTCTTTGGGTTACATGTGGCCACATTTGCATTAGGGCTGGGGGTGCATCTCACTGTATTGCTAGCTATTGCCTAGCATTTGTGATGTGTGAGCTTCCATCTCCAGCAGTGGGTGGGTTAAGGGGTTCACATTAAACTGGTTTAAGTAAAAAACATTGATCCATGAAGCTGTAAAATCAGGGGTGATGGTCTCAACACCAAGGTAGATCCAGGTGTTCCAATCATGTTAATGCCATTGGAGATCTAGCTTTTATGTATTTCCCACTTTTCGTTTTAAGTTCTGGATGGTGTGGCAAAGAAAGCCACCAACAGTTCAGCCTCCTGAGCCCCACATCCAGCCTCTTGTCTCTAAGTGTTCCTTCCTCTAATTAGACCAGCTCCTCTTGGAAACAATGCTCCTTTCTGAAGCAATTGTGTTGTGGCCTGGCAAGTGGATCAGGCTGAGCATCCCGCTTCCCAGACTGGGAGGAGGGTGGTGGCAGTTTTACCAGACCTCCTGGGTCCGAGAGTTGGCAGGGGATTGTTTCCCAAGAGAAACCAACTGGCTGTTACTATATGGAAGACTGGGGTGCACAGTGTGGAGAGGGAGAAAAAGCAGTGAGGGTAAGGATTGGATTGAATCAAGAAGACACCTAAGACTCCTAAGAGGAGGTTGAGAATAGTCGGAGACGCACTGACTAACATGGCACATTCCAGTGAAGACAGATCACTGTAGCCTTAGTACAGCAGCAGGACCAGGGGCTTGGTGGATTGCAGGGAACCAAGAGAGAAGGGCCAAAGCAGCAGGAATGGCGAGAGGTCTGGTTTCCTCAAGCAGTACAGAAATTTGATCTATCAGACTGGTGAGACCATAGGAATGGCAGAACACTTGGCGTCTTACACCCTTGATGCTGCAGCCTCAGCCCCAACACTAAGGCTGGGCACCCTCAAATAAAGTTCTGCACTGGTACAACTCTAAGCAGAACACAAGAACCTCATAGTGCAGAAAGATGGAGCAAATGGGCCTTCCATAAGGTCTGGAGGGTCTGGACCCAGCCAGGGGGAAGGGCTGGGCGTGAGGTCAGAAATGAAGATTTCAGAGGAAAGCACATACACAGGGGTGGGTGCACCAGAGAGGCCACTGGGCTTCCTGGGATACATTAGAGAGGACAGAAGCTGACTTGAAGAGCCCAGAGAGTTTAGTCACCCACTCAACCAGCCAGCAACACATCCACCCACCCATTTGCCCATCTATCCATCCATACCTCCATTTTGAAGTACGTATCTAGATGTCCCTAAATCCTCATGCACTCGTAGGTAGGGCTTTGAGGAGGTGACTGGGTCATGGGTGTGTGATCACTGGATTAACTCATTGCCGTGTTTATAGCTGGGTACGGTGTTGGGAGGTGACTTGATGAGAAGAGGTGGATCACTGTGGGTGTGGCCAGAAAGGGTAAAACTCCCTCCTCCTCCCTTGGTCCTTCTGTTCTTCCTGCCTGCCATGTCATGATCTGTTTCTCTTCTGCCATGCCCCTCTGCCATGCTACCCTGCCTGGGACAATGGACTGGAACCTCTACAAACTATGATCCAAAATAAACCTTTAGTCCTGTAACTCACGGGAGTCCGATATTTTTCTCCAGCAACAAGAAAGTAGTTTAGACACCATCCCTCTATCCACTTGCCTGTTCATTCATTCACCCATCCATCTCTCCAACCATCCATCTCCCCACCCATTCATGCAGTGCTTACTTACCATGCCATATGATAGACACTGTGGTACCCATTAGTTCTGGTTCTATGATGAACAAGATGGCCAAGGTCCTTGCCTTCCCAGAGCTGAGCTGAATGAGAAAGAACATGATTGACAAATAAACCAGCAATTTCAAAGCTGAGACAGGGAAGCCAGCTGGCAAGTGAGAGGGAGATGGGGTAGGGTTATATTAGCCAGGGCACTGGGAAAAGATGTCTGAGCTGACACAGGAAAAATGAAAGGAACCAGCCCTGAACCGTGTGGGGGAAGATGGCTCCAGACAGAGAAAACAGCAAGTGCAAAAATCCTGAAGGGAAAACGTATTTTGTGTATTTGGAGATCAGAAAGGGGATGGAAGAGGGAAATGAGGTTGGAGAGGTGACTCAGCTCAGCTCTTGTGAGGCAGGCAAGAAGTCCTGGGTTGTGGTGATGATAATGCAGAGATTCTCCCTGCAAAGTTATATGGGCAAGGGCTGGGGATTTAGCTCAGCGGCATAAGTGCCTGCCTTGCAAGCGCACAGTCGTGAGTTTGATCCTGGTACTGATAAAAAAAAAAAAAGAAAAGAAAAGAAAAGAAAAGTACAGCCTCCATGAACTGCGGCCCAGCCATGCCAGCTTGCCTTGGAGCCAACTCACTAAGGACTGAAACCTCCAAAAACTGTAAGAAATAAACCTTTCGGGGCTGGGGATTTAGCTCAGCGGCATAAGCGCCTGCCTTGCAAGCAGGCAGTCGTGAGTTCGATCCCTGGTACCGATAAAAATGAAAAAGACAAAAAAAAAAAAAAAACCTTTCCTTTCCAAAAAAAAAAAAAGTTATAAGGGCAGGCGGGCAGATGAGACCTTGCCCCATGATACCGACCAGACATTAACATGGCATATTGCTTTATTTTGCTGGGTTAATAATCACGGAAAGCATTTCTCTGTTCTAGGACTCGTGTGCTTGGCATATATTAGCTCCTTTGGTCTCCTCAGGCATCCTTGGAAGCAGATAGTATTGCTAAATCCCTTCGGGGAAACTGAGGAACCAAGAGGCCAGGGGACTCCTCAAAGGTCACGGAGCTGGCAAATGGCAGCAGGAGGGACAGAACTCAGGCGGTTGCAGGGTCCCTGTGCTTGCACACTCAGCCACACTGCCTGGAGTTAAAATGGGCCCCGTGCCCTGCTTCCTAGAGGGGTAAGCGGAAGGCCACATCCATGCCTGACACATGCATGCCCCGATTCTCTTTCCGGGTGAGCCAAGTAGTGGGGGCACAGTAAGCAGCCCAGGCATCCTGGAGGAGAGCTCCTGTCCTTCTGTCCCCTCAGGTCACACTGAAATGTCTGCTGTCCATGTGATGCATTCAGGCTGGGGAAGAAACTGGGTCACCTCGGTTGGAGCCTTTGGTTCCAGGTCTAGGACCACAGAGCCTCCATCCCATCCCTGTTCATCAGCAGCTGCCTCATCCAGAGCAGCCCAGGCTCCCTCACCACCTTCACCCCTCAGTGGCCCGTATTCCCAGGCCAGGGCTTTGGCAGGGGCTCACTGCTGGCACCAAAGACCTCTGCTCTGCACCCACAGCCAAGGAAAACAGAGCCTGTGGCACAAAAGCTTGGCCCTGCTACCTGCACTGCTGTGCTGGGACAAGCCTCCTCTTTCTTCTACGTCTCCTCCAATAACAAGAACAGGACTAAAAATAGCACCTGCAGGTCCAGGCTGCCACATGAATTGGCCAAGTCCCGTAACTTGTTTTTAAGAGACATTGTAAAGAATATACTCAGCATAGGGCTAAGTATCCAGCATAGTGCTCAGCATACAGTAGTTCTCAAGAAAGCATCTGAGCCAGAAAATCAGGTTCCACTTCTCATCTGGGTGACTTTGGGTAAGTCACTGGCCTCTCTGTGCCCTGTTTTCCTCACCTGGAGAATGACAGTAAGCCCCATCACTCTAGAACTGTTGTGATCATGAAGTGAATAATGGATGCAGAGGAGGGATCTGCCAGAGCTCAGCTTCCTACGCCTTTCCCCCAGGCAAGGTGGTGATGGCGGCCGGGGTCACAGGAATGCCAGGATTTTCCCTCTCAGGTCCTTGGCAGAGTAACCACTAGGTAACCACCGGGCCTCTAACTCCTTTGGTACTGAGCAGGGCTGAGCACAGGGAGAATCGTTCTGGGAATTTCCCGGTTGCCATTAGGTTTTTCCAAACTGAGCTCAGGGATTTTCCTCTCCCAGGCTGGACAAATGCCCAGAGCAGGGAATGAGCAGAGATATCCCTTGGGGGCTGCTGTTGGCTTTTAGGCTGCTGATAAGGGGAGCAGGGAGTAAAAAGGTGTACTGCCCTTTTCCTTCCCATTTTTGGTCTTGGAATTTAGGGCTGAAAAGAGGACCAGGAAAGTGTCAGGGGAGGGTGGCTGACCAGTACCTAACAACTAGGAGATCCAGCTGGATGGGGAGCTGGTGCTGATGCCAGAAATAAGCACTCTCCCCACCTAGGCCAGGAGAACAGTAGAAGGACAGGGCTGAGCAGGACACAGCAGCACACACCTGTAATCCCTGCTCTAAAGGAGGCTGAGGCAGGAGAAGCACAAGTTTGAGCCAGTCTGTAGCTCAGTGTGAAGGCCCTGGACTCAATCCCTAATAGTACACTACAAAAAAGATGTTTTCTTTTGGTGAGGGCTGGCCCTGCCTAGTTTACTCTTCTCATAAAGGTTAGTGGTATAAGGGAGGAAGGGAGAGAGGGCCAGAGGCAGAAAGTGCGGGGATCCTATCCCAAAGAGCTCTCTTGGCCTGTCTGAGCTTGAGCTCCCTGGTGGGAAGGGGACTCAGGTGGCTTGGAGACGCCTGTTGCACCCTCTCTCCACATCAGCACCCACACACAGACCACCCAGTCAGCATGGCTTATCTGTCTTACCTCCAAAACACATAGCATAGCTTTGGGATTTTTTGTTTTGCTTTTGGTACTGGGAATTGAACCCTGGACCTTCACACAGAGCCACATCCTCAGCTATTTATTTATTTATGTCTTGGAACAGGGTCTCAATAAATCACTAAGTTACCCAGGCCGGGCCTGAACTTTTGATTCTCCTGCCTCAGCCTCCCAGAGTGCCAGGAATAGGTATATACACCATCACACTCGGCTACAACCTGGATCCTTAAGTACCTTTGGCAATCTCCACTTCCCTGGCCCAGCTGCCACTCTGTCTCCCCTTCCTTAGGCTCTGATTCTTCTCTTGGCCTCCCATGTGGCAAGAGGTCATTTTGAAGGGCATGGTGACCAGGCCACCCTCTGGCTTTAAAATGACATTCCACAAATTCCATCATAAAGCAGAAAATCCAAACTGCTGTCCCAACACCTCCCCCTCAGCCTCCTGCCCCCCTTATTTCTGCTGCACTGATCTCACTGGGCCCCCAGCAGGTCACACTTCTCTGGGCCTCTAGGCCTTTGCCCTAGCTCTGTACTCCAGTTGCAGTGCTGCTGCCCGAGGTTTGATCTTCTTGTCTCTTTCCTTTGCAACTCTGGGAAACCACATCCCTAACCAGCCTACTATGAAAGCCCCTAGTCACTTTTGATCACTGTGAAACAAGAATTTAAAGGTAAGGTCATGATTCAAATGAGCACATCAGAGATGCTAGTTAAGTCATTAAATAACAGGATAATCCGTACAGCGTTACAATGTATTGGAAGAAGAATTTAAAGACAAACATATTGACAATCAGGAATTCTAGCCTGAATTTATAAATAGATGGAAAACTGGTCAATATCCATAGGACAATAATCAATTGACCTCTACCCTCATACAGTTCACTAGCATCCGATGGACAAGACTCATTTACACGTGAAAACGAGGAAAGAGGGGTCTCTGTAGCTAGTCGAGTGCAGAAGATGGGACACCACGTTATCTTTTTGCCCAGTTCAGTCTTTCCCAAGCTTCCGGTACACATACTCTTCCTAGCATTTACCAGTCCCTAAATTTATTTATTCATCTGCTTCCTATCTTTCTCCCTTGGTTCCATGTTCAAATGGGAGTGGAAGTTCTGTTTTGTTCACAGCTTCCGGAAGGACACAGCAAGTGTTTAATAAATGTATGTCGACTGCCTTTTTGGTGTCCAGGAAAACTGGTATTTTAGAAGACACCAAGGAGATATATATCAGTGCAAACCGTAAAAGGAGTCAATTTCCGCAGAGTAGGGGAAGGATCTGCAACAGACATAGGGAGGGTTACATCGTCTTTCAAATAATCAGGATCTCTGCATCTCAGGCCCTGGGGGTCCAGGGCGCCTGGTCCAACGCTGGTAGAGAGAACCCGCCGTGAGTCAGGGGGTGCCTTTGTTTAGGAATGGCATCTCCAGGAGCCTAGGGATGGGGCGCCTGCGATCCCAGGAGCGTGCCTGATGCCTCTTGGAAATCCCGAGGAAGAGCGCCTCGCCGTGCTGAGGTTTTCTGGTCCCTGCACCCAGGCGGCGCGTGGGCAAGGCTAAGGTAGGAAGGAGGCAGAGGAAAGGAAGGAGGAAGGTGCTGCGGGGCCAGGAGAGGAGAGATGAGTCACGAAATGACGGAATGCAAGACGCAGGAAGCGAGGGAGGAACTCATGCACGGATCTCTCTCACACGCCTACTGTGTGCACAGGCACCGCGTGGGCGCTGGGGGACCTGCAGGAATGGGGCCGAACCGGCTGTGGGCGCTGCGGGATTCGGTGTAAGCTGGAGCCTGACTGAATGAATGAAGTATACTGACAAAAGGGAAGGGAATTTGCAGTCGACGAAGTTGGGGGGGGGGGTACGCGTACACATCTTACAATCCCGGGGGGCTTCGCCTGGTTAGACGGCAACGAAAGGGGACACTGTAACCCAGAGTGGGTCAGTGGGCGTCACGGCGACAAGCAGAAAACGCACACGGATCTGTGAAGCTGCTCGAAGGTACACAAGAATCAAAGATGAGGTGAACAGAAAATGCAAACGCGATAAGCCCCTGTTCTCGGGCCGAGCGCGCCCCCTGGCGGCCAAGACACTTCGCCCCGCCCCTTCGGGAGATCGCGTACGTCCGGCCCCTCGCGTCGCAGCGCATTACGCATGCGCACGCTGCAGAATTTCCAAAGGGGTTTGTCCAGAGAGAAGTAGCTAGGTAGTCAGGATGGCCGAGCGGTCTAAGGCGCTGCGTTCAGGTCGCAGTCTCCCCTGGAGGCGTGGGTTCGAATCCCACTTCTGACAAAGCTTAAATTTTGTTTTGTTTTTTTCCTGCTCACAGCCACCTATAAAGTGACTCCCTATTGGCATTACAGCTTTTCTTTTACAAAACCAGTACTATTTTGAAAAAGTTTTCTAACATGGCGTAGTTGACGAAGAAATCTCCATTTACACATTCTTTCCACATATCCTTCTCTTCGGCTTTTGAGACACAAATGCCTTTCAGTTTGGGAGAGGAAATAAAAGCTAGGAGTTGTCAGAAGTGGGATTCGAACCCACGCCTCCAGGGGAGACTGCGACCTGAACGCAGCGCCTTAGACCGCTCGGCCATCCTGACTTCCTGAAGCTGAGGTTTCTAAGGAACAATCTTGGTGTTAGACACACAGCGTCGGCTCGCCTGGAACTTGGAACCAACCCCCGGCGCAATCGTCAGTCCTTGCCTGAGGTGGGGTGCTGCACACAGGGCGTCTGAGCTAGTAGTGATGTCGCGGTGGCTTCGGGCGTTCAAGACACGACTGGACGGCCACGCGGCGGGGACGCTGCGCTGCGGGAAGATGTTACTACGAGCACGTAGCTGCTTCGGACCCCTCCCCCCCTGGAGGGCGGGAGAGTGACCAGGCCGGCGGCGGCTGCGTGCCTCCTGAGAAGCCCTGTCCTCTAGGCTTGGGTCCCTCTTCACTGGGTCTTCCACTTCGCTCTTCACGAGCCCTTTTCTGACTGACCCTGGTGCCCAGGTCCAACCTAACCACCCGAGAGAATCGCTCCACCCCATCAACCTTAGGTAACGTATCTGAGTCTTTTAATAGCGAAGTAACTTTCACAGCCTTAGGGAGTGTAAGGTGATTATCTTGCTGGGTTAGCAGAGTGTCATGCTGTCCACCAGTTCTCTTAGCCACAGTCAGATTTGTTTTTTGAGAAAGGGTGTCTTTGTGTATTCAGGCTGGCTTTTGAATTCACCCTGTAACCCAGGCTGGTCTCAAATTCTCCAGGATGCTCCTGCCTCAGCCCCCAGGATGTTGAGGGCATGAGCAGCCAGGCCAGGCTCTTGATTTGAAAGATTATAAATTTCAGTAGTATGCTTGATCTGGGACCATCTTTCCCACCGGCTCCATGTTTTCCCCATACACGGCTGCAGCCCACCTCTCCTTTCATCAGAACCCTTGGCTTGTGGCTCCCAATGCCCAAGCTAAGGTCTGATTCAATTTCTCTGTATGGCCTTGAGCATCCCACTTCACCTCTCTGAGCCATGTAGAAAGGAGACTGAAGCCGTTCCTCAAGTTTCCCTTGAGTGCAAGCCTGTAAATCTCAGCAATCAGGAGGCTGGGGCAGGAGGAATGCTGCAAGTTTGAGACCAGCTTTGACCACGCAGAGAGTTGGAGTCCAGACTGAACTGCATAGTGAGACCCTGTCTCAAAAAAAAAAAAAAGGAAAAATTAAAAATAGATTAGAATAAAAATTTATTCTGGATGCAAGAAATAGCTCAGCCTGTCCTGGTTTAAGGAAAAGGAAGATTTATTAGCTCCCAAGATGGGCAAGTTCCTGGGCATCAATCTGTCTCTATAGGCTCTGGTCAAGACTTGGCCAGTTCTAATGAGGTTCCCCCAAAGAGGAGGTAGGAAGTGGGGACCTCAGCTCTCTGTCCAGGGAGTAGGTTCTTGTCTAGCAGTGTGAGGCACAGGCAGACTTATTAGGCAGAGTGGAAAAGTGGGGAGAATAGGAAAGGACTGCAGCTCAGGGTGTACGCTGAGGGGTGCAGACCAGCCCCCTCCAGGAGCACAAGGCCAGCTTTTATGGATTCACTGAGGTGGGCCAGGGTCGAGCTGAGTATGATCTTAGTTCTGGTTTTCATAGTCCCGGAGGAACCCTCCTTTCTTGAGAGGCAGCTTTGTGCCAGTGGGGTGACTGTCCTTGCTCCGGAGGGGCTGCCTTGGCTCCCATCACAGGGTAACACGGTCAGCAAGACCCTGCTCCTTCCAGCATCTAAGGTCATCATAGGTTTGGAGAATTCTAGATGCTGCTTCAGAGGGTATTGGGACTAGATGTTGAGAGAACTAGGAATTTGGTGTGGTTTCCCAGCAAACCCTGAAAATTACTTTAGGTTCTCTTATCAGGGTGTCCACAGTCTTTAAGGGGATTGATATGGGCTAGGTAAACTTGCGCTGAGAAACCTCCTAATAAGACACTCCCTGCATGACTAGCGTGCCTGTATGCACAGAGGGCAGGGATCAGACCTGAAGTTTTGAGATAATAAGTGAGACCAAAGAAAGAGAAAAATTAGTTTCTCTGTCTTCTGTCTTTATTTCTTCTAGTCTTCCTCACGTTGAACAGCAAAAGGGCCAGCCAGGCTCCTCCAGTCCAGGTCTTTCCACCACAGAGTGGCCTTCCTTGGCCTCGAGTGGTCTGGGCCATCTCCAGGGGTTCCCACCTTGCGCACTTGTGAGGAACTGATTATTTGGATAACCCTTTGTTTATCAGCTATCCCTGACCTCTACCACCACAAAACTTTGGCCACTCTATGCTTGGTCCATATTGGTAATGTAATAAATAAAAAAGATGGTCCCGATTTACTAAAAAAAAGTAAAGTTACCTATGAAGAGAGTTCAAGGTCTATTGTGAAGTAAAACAGACAAACAGAAAAACTAATACAAGCCAGAGATACAGGGTTTGAATTTATACATTTTACATATTTTTTTAAAAAGGTGGGTTGGGGAATATAGCTCAGTGGCACAAGTGCCTGGTTGGCAAGAACAAGGTTGTGAGTTTGATTCCCCTGTATAAAAAAAAAAAGAAGAAAAAGGAAAAAAAAGATTATTTTCCCTCTATCCTCAAGTGCTTATCTGATGCACACTGGAGCTCTCAGGAAAGAGACTTCAGCAAACTAAATAGTGGGTGGTTCTCTTGCTAAGGCAACTTATAGGGAGGAGATAAGAAATTTTATCTTGTGCATCCACTATCTAATCAAAGGTAAATGTAAACCGGGCAGTGGCAGCACTCTGGGGGGTAAGGTGGGAGGAGCACCAGTTTGAGCCCAGCCTCGTCAATTTAGCATTAATGAGGACCCTACCTCAAAATTTAACAGAAATAAAGAGAGACAGAGAGGCAGGGAGGTAGGGAAGGAGAGGAGGAAGAAGGAAGGAAGAATTAAAATAAAAAGAGCTGAGGTCCTTGGTTCAAACTCTAGTAGCATACACACACAAACTATAATTTCACCAGATGATCAAGGTCAGCATCAAGAATGATAACTCCAATCGAGTGTAGGCATCTTCCTTATGCTGTGCCCCTGAATGACCTCTGTGGCTGTCCTCCCAAAACCACATTCCTAAGACTAATCACAAGAAAACTATCAGACAAACCCATGAGAAACCTTCTACAGAAGGTGTGACCTATTCTCCAAAGGATCAAGGTCATCAAAAGCAAGGACAATCTGAGAAACTGTCACAGTCAAGGAGAGTCTAAAGCCACAGGATGACTTCACATAATGTGAGAGTGCTGGGTGCGACCTGCCAACAGAAAAAGATGTTGTGGGGAAAACTTTAAAGAAAATACTTAAAACAGTGTCTCCATATTGGCTCATTAATTATGACAACTATCACAATTAAGGTAAAATGTTAATAATAGTAGAGACTGCATATTGGCTTTAAGTCCTCTAAATCTTTCCAGTAATGAAATCTAAAGTTATTCTAAAATTCAAAAAATTCTTTAAAATATGACCTCATATATATTATATAATTATTATATTTATATTGGGGGCTGTATTAGAGATTGAAGCAGAGTCTTCATACTGATCTATATCCCCAACTTCTTTTTTATTTTGAGACAGGGTCTCACTAAATTGTCCAGGCTGGGCTCAAATTTTTTGTGGAGTGGGTGTTGGCTGGTGGTAAACTCACCAGGTAGCCTAGGCTGGCCTCAAATTCACAGCAATTCTCCTCCTGCCTGGACTACTTTGCCCACCCTAACAAAACATACAAACTTGTAGCCTATAATAATGCTGTTTATACACTAAGTCCTCGACTTATGAACATTTGAATTGCAAGCTTTCACAGTTATGCTGTATAAGGTTCACATGTGTACTGTATAAGAGTCATTTTGTTGGATTATGAACAAATCCAAATTATGAATGTTCTTGAGGAATGGAATTCGTTTGTAAATCAGGGACTTACTGTATATCTATACTATGTGTAAATATATTTTTGTATTTAAAATATCTATAACAAAATAGGTATATTTGTATATTAATATCTCAGAGGCTGAGGAAACATCAGTAACTGTGATAATCTCTGGAGAGAGGTGTGTGTTATAATTTATCCCTCTTTGGTTACCTGTACTGTATTAGATATTTATATAATGAATCTAAATTACACAGGTGATTTTTTTTTTTTTAGCTCAATTGCTAAATTACCCATACTAGGCTTGGACTTGCAACCCTCCTGCCTCAGCTTTCCAGATCCTGGGATTATGCCACCAGGCCTGCCTGAATAATTATGTTTTAGTTAAAAAGTTGGCAAGAAAAATGCATAAAGACTTTGAAAAGGGCAAAAACATTCCTTGCTATTTTTTCAGTGGAATGTTGGGTGTAGTGTCCAGCTGTGCTATGTAACTCAGTAACCCTGAGCCATATGGGGTTTCTGCTTGAGTGCTTAATTCTAGCTGGGCAGAACTGAGATAAGACTCTCAGAATACACAGCTGTACACAGCAGTCTCAAAAAGCTGTGTACAGGGAAAAAAAGCAAGCTATTTCACTAATAGATTAATTCTATTGCATGATGTTTTTGTTTGTTTTGTTTTTTTGTGGTACTGGGATTTGAACCCAGGAGTGGTCTATCACTGAACTGCATCCCCAGGTCTTTTGCAGTTTCTTTTGTTTTTGTTTTTAGTTTTTTTTGAGACAGGGTCTCATGATAAGGTTCGGGCTGGTTTCGAACTCGTTATGTACCCCAGGCTGGGTTCAAACTCACAGTGATCCTCCTGGTTTGGCCTCCCAATCGCTGGGATTACAGTTGTAGGCTACCACACCCAGCTCTAGTCCTTTTTGGTTTTTATTTTTGAGGCAAGATTTCACTAAATTGCCCAAGCAGGACTGGAATTTTCTATTTTCTGTGTCTATGAATCTTGACTACTCTAGAAATCTCCTGTAAATAGAGTCACATAGAATTTGTCCTTTCATAATTGATGTATTCCACTTAGCCATAATGTTCTCAAGTTTACTCAGTGTTGTTGCGTATTTCACTTTCTTTTCATTTGTTTTTTGTTGTTTTATAGTGCTGGTGATTTAACTCAGGACCTTCACACTGAGCTACACATAAGTCTTTTTTTTTTTTTTTTTTTTTGAGAATGTCTTCCTAAGTGACTGAGTTACTTGGGCTGGGCTCAAAATCATGATCGTTCTGTCTTTGCCTCCCACGGCTAACTGGAGCCTCATTTATCTGTATGTCAATTTTTTTTTCCCTGCTTGAGAAGTTCTCTGTCATGGCTTCTATGAACGTTTTTTTTCCTATATCATTTGTGATATCTCCTACTTTTTCGTTGACTCCAGTTAATCTTATATTATTCTTACTGCTGAGTTTATTTCTCATGATCTCTTAGTATTTTTTTTTTTATGGTACTGGGAATCAAATTCAGGACCTTGTGCTTGGCAGGAAGACCCTTGTGCTACTGAACTATATCCCCAGACCTTTGCTATTTTTAGGAAATCTTTCTTTTCATGATCACTAATTGTGATCTGTCTGCTAGATCTGATATTCAGTTCTCACACAGGCTCATTCTGCTGTATATCTGTTCCACAGATTCAATTTTTTCCTATGTTGATGTTGAATGTTCATATTTCCAACATTTTCTTAAGCTCCTGTATTTTTTTATCTGTATCTTCTCTAGAGTCACTAAGCATATCTCTCATTATGGTTACCATTACTGTGGTTATCTGACAGATTATTTCTGGTTTGATTTCTGCAAGAGCCTTGTTTATCTGCCTTGTTACTTCCACTGTTACCCGTTTAGAGAGTTCAGGCGGATGGCTTTCAGATTGTTCCACTTCATTGGTCCCTCGGTTTGCCTTTGGTGAGCTGAAAAATCTGGGGGTAGATTTTAAGTATCTTCTCATTTTCTTTTCTTTTTTGTTTGTTTAATTCCTTGGTTGATGCTCATAAATTGCTTATGGTGAGTAGCTTTATTGGTAGGAACTATTTAGAACCTGTAGGAAATGACTACTTCTCAGAGTTGTCTTCCAGGTGTAGCTGGCTTTTAGATTTTGAGTCTGTTGCAAGATCCTACCTCTTCAATTTATTGGGGATGAGAAGTTTTTACCTATTTGGTCCGGGCCTTGGTTCTCTGGCACTGGCCTATAGTATTGTTATGACTCTTAGGAGATCTCCATCTAGGTATATCAGGAAGAGCAACTGATTAGAACAATTATTTTACTTTGACTAAAGTAGTACAATCAGCAATAATAATACCATCAAATAGCCTAGAAAATGACAAACTGTGGTAAGTATTAATTTGCTACTTTTTAACCATGTGAACCACATGTGGTTATGTAATAAAATCTAAAACAGATCAGAAAATTGTACACAGTAAAGAAGCCCTTGTTGTGGTGATTTTACCCTTGGGAGAAAATTTAATAGGAGTTAGGGGGGAAATAGAGAGCTAGAAGAGGGAGAGATTAGAAGCAAGGCTTGCGGAGAAAGGAAGATTATGCAGACTTTGAGAAACTGATGAAGAAGACAGTTGGGAAAGAGCAAAGGAAGAAATAAAAACCAGGACAGAACAGAACAACAGCAACAAAAAAACTAGAAACCAAGTTCATACTCATAAAAACAAAGCAAACAATCAAGTAAGTGCCTGCCTGGCAAGCTTGAGGTTGTGAGTTCCATCCCTGGTACCACACACACACACACACACACACACACACACACACACAACAGGAAAAGAGAAAAAACAAAGAAGAAAAAAATCCATCAAAAGGCTTGTGACTGCTGTCACTGTTAGACAATGTGGGCAGAGTCCAGATCAAATTGATTATTCCCAACAAGCCAGCCATAGCTTTACTAGGGAGTAGTGGATAATCCCAGTGAACCTCCCCCTTGAGTTCCACTGAAGTTCAGACTGGTTTCTGTCGGTGAGGCTAGAACTCAGTTTGTTCAGCCCTTATAATATTCCTTGTACCTCCTGCAGGCTTGAACTCAACTCCCAGACCTCCTGCTGACTTGAATCCTGCAGCCTTCATCCTAACACTGGGAATCACTAGAGGGAGCCAGACTGCAGCTCTTCTGAGTTCTGAGCTCAGTTTGCCCCTCTTCAAGACGGCTACTGGCCTACCACCGTCTCTTGGGGAATGTCTGAACCTGAATAACTCACCAGCCACTGCACTCCACTCCCATCCACTGGTGCATTTCTCCATGGAGGTCTCTGGGGGCTCTCCAGTAGTCACTGTGGGTCTGCAAGTTTGTGAGCTGAGCCTCTCACAAAGTGAGTCTGAACTCAAAGAGAAATTGCTGCTTGCCACCTTCGTCTTCATTGAAGTCTCTCAACACTCTCCTTGTGGGCTTCAGTTCTTGATTCAGATCCTTCCTCCTTTTCTCCCTCATGTTGCTATATTCTAGCATCTGGACACCGAATCTCAGAGAGGCTGTTTCTCTGCTGCTCACCGCTTCGCCATCTTTTGGTCTTGAACTTCCATCTTGGCCTTCCGGAGTGCTGAGATTACAGGCTTGCACCACCACATTTGACTTTCCATCCCTTCCATGGTTAATAGTGTTCCCCTGAGGCTGGGATTTAGCTCAGTGGCCTAAGTGCCTGCCTGGCAAGTGCAAAGTCATGAGTTTGATCCCTGGCACTCCCCCCACCCTGCCCAAAAAAAATTCCCCTGGACCACATTTTGTTTACTCATTCTTCTGTGGTGGATGCTTTACTTCCCTGCACATGTCATCTATTGTGAATAATGTTGCTATAAATGTGAGTCATGCTTATTATGGCTTTGAGATCCTGCTTTCAGTCCTCTTGCGAATATACTCAGAAGTGGAATTGCTGGATCATACAGCAATTCTGTTTTTAATTCTTTTAAGAACATTTAATTTTCTACCATCTATGCACATGAATTCCAATTTCTCCATATTCTCTCTAACCCAAGCTTTTAAACTCTGGCCACCTAGTGGTTGTGAAGTGACAGCTCATAGGAGTCTTCGTTTGCATTCTCCTAAAGATTAGTGATATCAAGCATCTTTTCAAATACTTGCTCACTATTTGTGTATTTTCTTTGGAGAAATCATTATTGAATCTTTTGTTCATTTTTTATTCAAGTTATTTGTTTTCTTGTTATTGACTTATAAGAGTTCTTTATTCTGAAAATCAACTCTATACCAGGTATTTTTGCCCATAAATGGCCTTCTTCATTCTCTTGATTGTGTTCTTTGGTGCACAGAAGTTTTCAGTTTTGATGTGCTCCAATTGATCTATTTATACTTTTTTTTTTTTTGAGACAGGGTCTCACTATTTAGCTGAGGCTGTCCTTGAACTCATATCAATCCTTCTGCCACAGCTTCCCATGTGCTGCAACTAGAGGCCTGCTATTTATACTTTTGTTGTCTGTGCTTCTGGTGTCATATCCAAGAATTACAGGTGTATGCCACCATACCTGGCTCTTTTCTTACTTTTACTTGTTCCAAGTTACTCTTCAGGGCCTCTTTTTCTACTCTCTGATGAAACTTTGCTTAAAAAAAAAAAGCCACAGACTAGGAGAAAATATATGTAAAAAATTTACTTTTATCATATATATCTGATAAAATAGCTCCATCCAGAGTATGTAAGAATTATTTCTTTTCTTTTCGTTTTGTTGCTTGACACTGGCTTGCTGTGTAGCTTAGGCTAGACTGGAATTTACAATCCTCCTCTCTCAAACTCCTGAGAGCTGGGATTATAGGAGTGTGCCACCAAGCCTGGCTGGAATACAGCATATAAGAATTCTTTTCTTTCTTTCTTTTGCTCTTGGTCTTTCTTGCTTGCTTGCTTTGTCTTTCTTTCTTTCTTTCTTTCTTTCTTTCTTTCTTTCATGGTCTTGCTCTCTCTCTCTCTCTCTCTTTCTTTTTTTAACAGAGGGTCTTGCTATGTAGTTCGGGCTGCCCTGCAGCTCACAATGCCCTTGCACTCGTGGCAATCCTCCTGTTTCAGCCTCTTGAATGCTGGGATTACAGGCATGCACCACTACATCCAGCTAGAATTCTTATATTTCTTTTTTTTTTTTGAATTCTTATATTTCAATTTTAAAAGACAACTCAATTTTAAAAGAGTTTACCAAAGAAAGTAAATGGATGATAAATAAATCCATAAAAAGATGCCTAACATCCTTGCTTATTATGAAAATGCACTTTAAAACCATAATGTGGCAGTATGTACACCAGTATGTATAATGGTTTAAACTTGCACTGGCAGGGTTTAGTTGTAGAGCATGAAAATCACTGGTGGTGCTAAATGTCAGCAAAGAGGTGTGGGGCTGCTGAAGTCTCCCCGCTTTGCCGATGGTATCCAAAAATGACACAGCCACTTTAGAAAAAGTTTTCCAGCTGGGTATGGTGGTACATTCCTGGGAGGCTGAGGCAGGAAGATAGCCAAGTTCAAGACCAGTCTGTGCAATTTAGTGTCTTAGTGAGACCCTATCTCAAAATTAAAAAAATAATTCTGAGGATGATATGAAGGCCCTGAATTCAATCCCTAATACTACAGAAAAAGAAAAAATGGTGGCAATATGTTAAAATACTACAAATCTTTTGTGATCTAGCCATTGTAACTCTAGGTATTGCCCAAAAGAAATGAAAGCACATTTATCTAAAACAAAACCAAAAAAAAACTTACCTGCAGCAAGTTGTAGTGGTGCATATGTATAATCCCAGCACTCAGGAGCCTGAGGGAGGAGGATTGCTATAATTTTGAGCCAGCCTGGGCTACATAGTTTGAGACAATGAGATCCTGTCTCAAAACAAGAATAAAAAGGCCAGTCCTTTCCCATGAGTCAGCACCATTCATGGGCTTGGTGGAGGAGAACAAGAAGCTAACAAGAAGCCAAACCCTTCCTATGAGTCCGCATCACACATGAAACACTGGCAGGAGAACCTGACACCAGCCCTTTCCTGTGGGTTGACACCATTTGTAGACTGTGGAGAAGGAGAACAAGAAGACAATAAGAAGCCAAGCTCCCGCTGTGAGTCAGCACCATTCAAAGGCTGCGGAGGGGAGAACCAGATGTCAGCCCCTTCCAGCATGCAGGCTGGGAGACAAGAAGAGCCGAGGTACTCCCCACACCCACTTCCGCTGAAAGTGACTGGTTAATCCAGAGAAACACAGGCTGCAATGAAAGCTACTGAGGTAAAATTCAACTTAATGCTAGAGTTTATTGTTTCACTGACTTTGAGGCCTAAAGCCAGTAGTCTGATCATCTACTCAGAGAATAATAATATGCAATGTAGCATCTATGATGGATCTCATTCTGAAGGTGGTAGCCATGGTTAAGTCCCTATTATCTTTTTCAAGTCCTGTATCATTTTCACTGTTTTGCTTGGTTGGGTTTTATTTTGTTTTGTTTTGTTTGATTTTATTATATCTGATGGCATGGGCAGCTGTTTCAAAGATAACAAGATATATTATGGTAGCCATTTTGTTTTATTACAATCTTTTTTGTTTTTTAACTAGGGATTGAACTCATGACCTTGTGCTTACAAGTGCTTGAGCCACTGAGCTAAATCCCAGGCCCATGCTGGCCATTTTGGATTTACTATTGGAGAAAGATTTTCTTTTCTTTCTTTTTTTTTGGTACCAGGGATCGAACTCAGAACTGTGTGCTTGCAAGGTAGGCACCTTATGCTGCTGAGCTAAAATCCCTGGCTGGATTTACTATTATCTTGTTTTGAAGTCCTTTATTGTGTTGATTGTTTTGTTTTTATTATTCTATTGTGTTCTGTTTTGTTTGATTTTTACTGCACCTGAAGGTATGGACAGCTATTTTGAGGACAACAAGGAGCATTATGGTAACCACAGTTGATTTCCTACTATCTTGTTTTGAAGTCCTATGTCACTTACACTGTTTTGTTTTAATTGGCTTTATTCTCTTTTATTTTGCTTGGTTATATTATTTTTAAAATAAAAATTACAACAACAACAACAAAAAAGACCAAACAAGCCACTTACCTGCAATGTTCATAAAAATGTTATTCCTAACACAAAAAGAGCTCTAATGTCCATTAGCTAATAAATACATAAAAAATTGTGGCTTATCAATGCAATAGAATACAATTGGCAGAAACTATTGATAGGCTCAGCAATGTAGATGAATTGCCAAAGTTTTCAGTGAGAAAGCTTTACACAAAATGGTATTATACTGGTTTCTTTTCACTACTTTAACAAATTACCACAAACTTAGTGGCTTCAAACAGCATAATGTTTTATTAGTTTCTGGGTCCAAAATGAGCATGAACAGTTAAATTGGGTCAGCAGGTTTTCTGGAGGTTCTGAGAACTGTCCTTTGCTTGGGCCTGGGGTGCTAAGGCAGAACAGTGCTGAGCTTGATTAGCATGTGAGGCCCTGGCTTCACCCCACTAGCATCAAAAAGACAAAAAGGGAGACCATTCTTTGCCCCTTCTCCCTCTAGTGGCTGCAGGCATTCCTTAGCTCTTGGCTGCATCATGTTTCTCTTTCTGTGGCCACAATGCTTTCTGTATTGTCATCAAATGTCCACTAGGCTCCCTCTAACCAGGACACTTGGGACTACATTCAGGGCCTATGCAGACAATCCAGGCTCATCTCCTCGCCCCCAAATCCTTAATCACATATGCAGAATGCCTTTAGTCCCTTTTGCCAAAAATAGGTAACATCTATGGGTTCCAGGAGTTTGGCTAGAACAGCTTGGGTGGGGACATTACTAAGCCAGCCACAACTACGTAAGAGTCCAAAAAAGAAAAGAAAAGAAAAAAGAGTTTGTTTATATGACATTCTGCAAAAGGCAAAACAGCAGTGCCAAAAGGAGTCAGACACTGCCTCAAGCTGGGGTAGAGAGCACAAGACATTTTAGGGGTGACCGAAATGGCCTATTTGGTAATTTGGGTGGGAGTTACATAGCCTGGTGACCCAGAGTGAGAGGGACAGGAGACAGTAGCACCACTTAAAAGTGACAAAGAGCTAGCGGCAGTGGCCAGCACCCATAGTTCCACCTACTGCGAAAGCTTAGGCAGGAGGATCACATGAGCACAGGTGTTCAGGTGACAAAGGATACGTGTCTGAATAGGAAGCAGCTTATAAAATGGAAAGTTTTAAAAGCACAGAGAGTAGCAAAGCTAGAGGGAATGCGATACATCACGAGACCATGGACACAGCTCACACACCTACAGAGTTTAAAGACTTCCCCAAGAGACTGTCGGGTTCCTTAACTCTGTAGAAGTGAGGGGGGAAATTAGGGCATGGCAAACTGGCTGGAGAAGTAGGCAACATCTGTTGATCACAGAGTTCCAGGACACATGAGCAGAGCAATTCCCAAAGCATTGCATATGGAACCAGTCTGAGTGCTAACTTCACTTTGCACAGAACCCAAGCAGGTTTCTGATAGGACAGCCTAAATATGACGTCAGTCTGCAGAGTGAAGGACGCAAAAGATGGCTGTTGTTGAATTCTTGGCCATGATGCTCTCTATTGCATGGTGGTCTGCTCTTACTCTGTGGGTTGTACTCTTTTTTCCTCCTTTTAGTGGCCCTGAACTGGCTCTGCAGGGCATGTTTCTTTTCTTTTAATACTTTTAATAAATGTAAAACCTTACTACTTTTCACACTTGTCTAGACAATTTTTTTTATTTTTATATATATATATATATTTTGAGACAGGATCTCACTATGCAGTTTAGGCTGGCCTTCAACTCACCTTTGTAGCCCACACTGACCTCGTACTCACAGAAATCCTCCTGCCTCTGAAGTGCTCCCAAGTGCTGGGATTATACGCATGCACTGCCATATCTGACCTCTTTGTTCAGTTCTTGATCTGGACTTGTAAGATCTTCCTGTGTCAATCTCCAGAATACTGGGGTTTCAGCATGCAATACCATGCCTGGCCTTATATCTTGTTTCTTCCCCTACAGAGTGCTGGGATTACAGACAGACCACATTGTGTCCAGTTTATGTAAACATTCTGATGTATACAGCTTTGATATATGTGTAAGACTTTCTGTTGGATATAATCCTCTTTTTTTTGAGATAGGACCTTGCTATGTAGTTCAGGCTGGCCTTGAACTCATTATATAGTCCAGGCTGGCCTCAAACTCATGACAATCTTCCTGCCTCAGCCTCCTGAATACTTGGACTCCAAGTGTGCACCACCATACCTGGCTGGATATAATCTTCAGAGCAGAACAACATTTTATTTATTTATTATTATTATTATTATTATTATTTATTTATTTATTTTTGGTACTGGGGATTGAACTCAGGACTGTGTGCTTGCAAGGCAGGTGCTTATGCCACCAAGCTAAATCCCCAGCCTCTAGAGCAGAACAACATTAAAAGTCATGTTTGGTAGGGGCTGGGGATTTAGCTCAGCGGCATAAGCACCTGCCTTGCAAGCAGGTTGTCATGAGTTTGATCCCTGGTACCGATTAAAAAAAAAAGTCATGTTTGTTTTTATTATTTTTTTAGAGATACTGCTACATTGTCCTGAAAGTCCATATTAGTTGACACCAACACTAAGAATAGGTGAGCTTATCTTTTTACCTATGCCCTGCATGTGTGATAAGAATTTGTTTTTCCGAAAAAAAATCCTCATTATTTGCATTTTGTAATATTTAGCCAGTGATAGTGAGTCTCTTAAATTTATTGGTCATTTATATTCTTTTTCCTGTGAATTTATGGTTTAAATGATTACTTTTAAATAGCAAAGAATTTAAATTTGCCCAGAGACAGACTGGACCTTTACCCTCAGCTCCTGAGAAGTAATCTCTAACTCTTTGGCATATCAGAGACTTGATAGAAATGTCTTCATTTAGGGTGAGGTCGGCCACACTGGAGTCGGGACCACGTGACTGGGATGGGGGAGCTGCAGCCACCCTGTGCAGAAGTGGTTTGGGGGTGGAGCCTTGGGGCACAGGACAACAGCTCACACACTGATCTCTGAGGAGCTGGAGACTGACCTTAGCTACATGGACAGTCAGCCATGTCTGTGAGATGGATCCCCAGTAAAAACTCCACTCTAGTCAGCCATGTGACACACATGTGTAATTCTAGCACACTGGGAGGCTGAGGCAGGAGGATGGAAAGTTTTAGCTCAGCACGAGAAATTTAGCAAGACTGTCTCAAAACAAAACAAAACCAAAGAAGGACTGGGGATAAAGCTTATTACAAAGGCCCTGGGGTAATGGTATAAGCCTGTAATTCCAGCACTGAGAAGGCTGAAGACCAAGGATCCCCAAGAGTTTGAGGTGAGCCTAAGGCTACGCAGTGAGTTCAAACCAGCCTGAACTACACAGCGAGACCTTATCTCCAAACAAGCAAACAAAGCTCTGAGTGTGTTTGTTTGTCAGTGCCTGTATATACTGTGACATGTAAGGCTGTGCTCCACAGAGAGGACAAAGGAAGCCTAGGTTTGGGACTTTCCTGGGCTCTGTACTCCACTATATACTACTTCCCTTCACCAATTTTTTTGTGTATTAATCCGCTGCGATAAATCGCAACTGTCAGGACTGTTTTCAGTGAATTCTGAGTCCTTCTGTTACCGAGTTCTGGGGAGCTGGGGTTTCCTTCTACAGTTGTTTTCTCGGTTCTTTTCTACATAGTGAGAGTGTTGTTGATGTTTATTTGAGATAGGATCTATATAGTTCAGGCTGGCCTCGAACTCACCGTGTTGAAAGAACCTGGTGAACCACACAGTGAATTCAAGGCCAGCCTGAACTACGTAGACACTATCTCAATAAACAAACAAATAGAAAGAAAGAAAAGAAAGAGAAAAGATATAAAAGTATAGCCTATGCCAAGCACTTAACCATGTTTCACTAAAGGGCAAGGTGCAAGTTTTCAGAGGTATGTATATGTGATATGCAATGAAATCAGCTAATGAAAAAATGAACAATGAATGAATCATGGGATTAAAAATGAAATCAGAACTGACCAACCCTACATAGGGCAACCTGTAAAGTAGTCACTATTTGCTGATTATAATCACCACCTTTCCAGAGTTCATTAGATGAAGCTCACAGGAATCTTTGTGTGAATTGCTTTAATTTCTTAAAATTATAAGTCAAATAGTGTAAACTATCATTTGATGGGCTCTGGTTTTTTCCCCTCCTTTTTCTCCTATTGTAATCCCAAATATTGAGTATGGTAATCCAAGTATTACAATCTCTCTGTCTTCCTCACAATCCAAAAAGTTATATTTATAATCCCATTGAGAAGTTATTGGAATCCCAGCAAATTAATTCCAATCTACCACCTCCAATGCAACCCACAGTGAGAGTAAAGACACTAAGACATATTCAAAGTTAAGGGTAGCCAAGGGGTCCAAAGTCCAATCCCTGTGAGGATGTGCAAACAAAGGTTCTGATTCTAGACCTCTCCCAGAATTTATTATCTTGTGAAGAAGGGGGTGGCTTGAGGATGAGTGACAGTGAGGATGGCGGGAACTACATGAGTAACTTTAGCCAGGTAGTGAGAAAAGCATCTTTGTAAAATGCAGGGAGAATGACATGCAGAAGGCTCAATCTGCATAATTCAATGAAGGTATTATAAACCATAATCATTTGAGACTCATAGTCTCTTTCTTGAGGCTCATACCTAGTTGACATTCCTGGAGCTGACAGGCTTTGCCATCCCAGGGTGCTCATATCTTTTATAGATAACACTACTGGAGGAAACAGGACACTGATGGCTTTAGTGATTACATACCAATACCTGACTAGCCTTATTTGCAATACTTACAACCAATTGAAGACAGAAGTAAATATCATAGCTCTGTACATATCAGTATATGGAAATCTATGTAATCAAAGTCGCAGCAATTGTTCTGCACTCAAGGAGAGTCACTCAAACTGTTTCCTACATCCTTCCATCTCTCAGGCTCTTGTTTGTTTGTTTTTGAGACAGGATCTTGCTGTGTGGCCCAGGCCTCTACCCTCCTGCTTTAGACTCCCAAGTGTTGGTATCATAGGCATATGCCACCATGCCTGGCCTTATTTTTTGTTTTTAATAATGAAACCATTATATTATCAAGGGGTTAAAATCAAGTCTTTCACATCTCAAGGCCTTTGCATATATGGCAGATTTCTCTGATTTTTATTTATCCTTCAGGTACCTGTTTAAATGTTCATCCTTTCCTTGACTGGGCTAACCTGATGATACTCCACAGTTCTCAGGATTACCCTCTCACACAGCGTTCCATTCTTTTTCTGGGATAACGAGATCACAAATGATTATGGTCTATGTCTCTGTTTCCTACATCAGCCTGACATTGAGCTTGGCACACAGCTCAGAAGTCTGACCTCAGGTCCTGCTGCACTCATGGTATCCACTAAACATCTACTGCCTTTCCAGCAGGCCCAGACCCAGCTCACCGGAGGGGCCTCAACACAGAGCAGCCTCTGCAGATGTGCAGCAGGTGCTCTCTGGGTGCACTCTCCTCAGACCCCTGGGAATAGAGACAAGGTCTGGGGGCAGGCAGGCTGACTCCTCCTCCTGGGCATGGCTCTGCCCTGTCACCCATCCCCAGAATCCAAGGCCTTCATGGTGCCAGTGGAGAGCTGAGTGGGCAGCTGCTTCCAGCCCAGAATGGGTTCTGTCCTTTTTTTGATGGGGGCGAGTGAAATTGGTTTGAAGAAAATGTCAAAATGTAAAAACAGTGCAGTGATTCAGTCTTGGTTGCTGCCATTTGAAGGAATGAAAGTGGGATGAACCAAAAAAACAAAATCTAAACCAAAAGCAACACAAAAACCCCCTACTGTTTTAGAATCTGCTTCAGAAACAATCACCTCATTGTTTTCTGTGTCATAATAAAATTAAGGACTCACCCGAGCTTTGTTCTAGGGTGACTGGTCCACAGAGAGGCCAGTCTCTGGGTAACACTTCTGCAGCTATCAGAAAGTATTGCCCATTACCAGAGCATGTGTGGCAGGTAACGGAGGGTGAGGACCTAGGTGCATAGAGGAGACAAGGCTGAATGTCCATCATGTGAGTGGGAAAGAACTAAGTTAGCATCTGCCAGAGATATTTTCACATTCCCAGGTCCCTCCAGTCTTTAAAATAAATGTCAAGCACTTTATCACTATGGTAAGCTGAATAATGACCACCTCCTAATCCTTAGATCCTGCAAGGCTCTAAGGATAAAGAAAGAATCTTTCTGGAAAGAAAGAATCTTTACAGATGAAATCAAGTGACTAAATTAAGATTCTTGACTTGAGGAGACTACTCTGAACAACCCCAGTCAAACCACCATTTGTTCAGGGGCTGGGGGTTTAGCTCAGCGGCATAAGCACCTGCCTTGCAAGCAGGCAGGCGTGAGTTTGATCCCCGGTACCAATAAAAAATGAAAAAGACAAAAACAAACAACTCCACTGTGTGTCCTTATAAAATAGGCTTATCTACACATATTTTATACATACAGAGATGGAGTGGCAATATGAGCATGGAGACAGCAGCCTTTAACAGAAGCTGGAGGATTCGCCCCAAGGGCCTCCCGAGGGAGGGTGGCCCAGAAGACACCCTGGTGTAGGCTCTTTGGGACTGACTGCAAATAAAGAGCTGGTCCCCTGAACTGTGAATAAATTGCTGTTAATTATAAGCCACTGTTTGTAGTAACTCAACACAGCAGCCCCAGCACACTAACCCAATCATCTAAGTGGCCTTGTGTGACCTCCCACTTCTCCTGCAGCAGCCAATCTCTCCCTCCCTCTGCTCCAGTCCTGCCAGAGACTTTCTTGCTGTTCCTCAAATGGCATGGCTTTGTGCACCTTCAAGGCCCTCACACCAGCTAAGCTCCACCAGACCTTCCCAAGAGTGCCCTCAATTTAAGTTTCGGGTGTCTGCATACCTCCTTGTGTAGGTTTTTTTCCTTAGCTACATTAAGCGAGTTCAAGGCCAGCCTGCACTTTGTAGTGAGATCCTGTTTCAAACCCTCCTGCCCAACCCTCATCCTCCATCTCCTGCTGGCCCCCGAGGTCACATCCCTCTGTTATTTTAGTCCTAGCATTTGTTGGCATCTGAAGTTTGCTTTTCTCCTTGGTTTATAATTTGTCTCACCCAAGGAAAGGAGCCCCACAAAGGCCTTCTTTAGCTTTTTGGGAGAGACCTGACGTCTAGGAGGCACTGGGAGAACATGGGTTGAGGAAAAAATGCATGAAATATCCGAGTGAACATCTGTGTGCTCGCACACGTGCATGAGATTTAAGGTGCACACAAAGACCGAAATCAAAGGCCTGATGTCACCTACCATCTTATGGTGGCACTTCCCTTTGCCGAATGGCTGCAGCTTTCAACGTAATATTTGGTTTCTTCCCCACCGGTGCTCTGCAGACCTCTGTAAGGCAGGTGAGGTGACGCTCACCCATCTCCTAAATTCCTGTATTTAGAACGATCCTTGCCGCAACTGCCATAAAAGGACATCACCTTCTTCCGAGTTCTCAGGTTATCCAGACCCATTTCTAGTACTCGGACTTGTGCAGGAGACACCAGCTTTGTCTAGAGAGACGTGGGTCTGGTCCGCTGGCACAGAACCCTGGGCTGCAACGGGGAGAGGGGTCCACGAGCGGAGCGGCGGCACCTAGGGCACGGACCCAGGAGAGAGGGCGCGGAGGCGCACAGCCGAGGAGTGGCGGGAAGAGGCTACTGAAAAAGGCTACAGGACGGCTGAGTTGTCTCGCTGACCCGACCTCACTTTCCGACCTGTGGGTAGCAGCCGCTGCTGCTAAGGAACCTGCGAAGGCTTACGGCCACCGGCGAGGCAAGGGTTAAAGGGGCGGTGCTCACGACGGGGCGGGGCCGGACGGCCGCACCTGGCGCTCCGGCTCCCAGGCGGACGCGGTGCGCACTGAGCTCACTGCGGGAGCCGGAGCCCTGGGAACCCGCACCCACTGCGGGAAGGCGACGACGAGGCCAGAGCCTACTCGGGACTCGAGCGGAGCCGCCATGGCTGAATTTCCGTCGAAAGTGAGCACGCGGACCAGCAGCCCTGCGCAGGGTGCGGGTGCCTCGGCGTCTTCGCTGCGTCCGGACCTGGGCTTCTTGCGCTCCACCTTTGGGGTGCTCATGCTGCTTCAGCTGGTGAGCGCTCGCAGCCCAGCGGGCTGGGGTGGGCGGGGAACAGTCCATTTCTGGGGTAGCATGGGTGACTCCGGAGCGGCGCCCCATCTTCGTACCCAAGCACCTCCCCAGCGTAGGTTCCCGCGCCCGGATGCGCCTTGCTCACGCTGGGGGCGCTTCCAGGATGGATACTTTGCTGCCCATCTGGAACCTTCTTACCATGGGGCACTCGTTGCTATCCCTGCTAGTACATGCAACTGGTCATTCGTAATCGGGGTGCCTGGCTTCAGTGCCCGTCATTGCCGCCCCAGGTGGTCAGCAGGGCAGCACAGCACCCACTTAGCTTCAAATCACTGTACATAGCTCTGTCCGGGTGGGTCTGTCTCTTTCCCTTCCCCCTCTCGGCCAGGACTATGCTGCAGCCCTCCAGGGGACCCAGAATAAGTCAAAGTCCACTCTTGGCCCCATTCCTCCCGGCTCCGAAACTCTCTGGATCCAGCTGAGCGTACACCGCACCACACACGCACGCCCTGGTACGGCCCCGAGGGCTCCCGCGCGACGCGCCCTCTGGCTCCTTCTGGGTGACCTGCCAGGTGCCAGCCGGTTTGGCCGGCACCGCCAGCCGAGCGATTTTGCACCCTGAGCCCTCAGGGAGGTATTTGCGGGAAGCCAGAGGCGGGACTCGCACTGCTTCCCGATTCTGTGGTCGAACTCTGGTGGAGGTGACGAAAGGAAAGCACTTCCTCCTTCCTCCACCACCCGCGTCGGGCCTGGGGCGTTCGGTTTTGTCCCGTGGCCCCCTCTGTGTTCCCCACCACCAGCTGAAGGCCCGATCCATCTTCAGAGCGCGGGGTGGACCTGGAGGTGGACTTGGATCCAGTTTCCTTTACCGTCCAGCGAGTGGGTCTTGCCCGCCCCCCTTACTGCTGGGTGCTGGCAAGGCTTCCAGGCCCAGGCTGGAGGGTTGGGTGGTCACCAGGGTGCCCACTCCGGCTGAGATCAGGCTTATGTCTCGGCTCCCGCAGAATAGCCCACCTCCACCCCATCCATCCTTGGATATCTCCCGTTTCCCTTTGCAGCCTCCTCCTCTACCCCAGTTGCGGAATCTCCCGGAGGGTTTGCTTAAAATGCAGATACTGGACCCCACCCCGGAAAAAAATGAATTGTTATTTGAATCTTAGGAAGTGCAGCCAGAAATCTACGTATTTAACATATTTAACTTGTCTCCTAGAGTGGGGCTTTTTTGTTCTGTTTTTTTTTTTTTTTTTTTTGGTCAGGCTGTCCTGTGTGTGGGGGTGACACTGTCTTCGGAGACAAATTTAAATCTGCTTGTGGGTGCTGGGGCTATAGCTCAGTGGTAGAGTACCTGCCTAGCAGGCGGAAGTCCTGATATCCCCCTTCCTCCCTAAGGCAAAAGCAGCCCTGCAGGAGCAGGTATGGAGGAGCTTACTGGCCCAGCTGCTGCCAGGCTCCTGAGTGCTGGCCCCTACCCCTTAATAAGAAGTGTCTGATGGGAGGAGCCAAGTGGTTTAGGAAGCTGTAACTGAGAGGGAGATAGTTCTTGCTTGGAGGAAGACTTCCTGGAGGAGGTGGCTACTGAACAGGCAGTTGGTGGAACTCTGAGGCCCAGATAGGGAAAGGGTGGTCAAGGCTCCAAGATGGAAGAGTCAAGGGGAAAAGCAACTGAGTAGCCAGCAGTTGGGGAAGCTGGAGTTGAAGGACACATGCAGGTTCGGGGTCCATAAACCCTGGGGTCTTTTGCACATTTGCCAGCCTGGGATTGGTTCTGTTGGCAGCCCTTGCAGGGGGCAGGTCATGAGCTTGGGAACAAGCATGATGGGGATGGCTTTGAGGGTCCTGATTCTGTTAGCCCTTGGCTCTTGGCTGACAGGTCAGGAGCATTTTGTATCTGAACAAGGATTGCACTAAAGGGACAAAAAGAACTGGAATAAGGGTTTTCTGGTTGGAAGGGACAGTGGCTTTTTTTTGGAGGGAAGAGGTTTATCTCTTGTTTTGGGGGTTCTGTGTGAGCTCAGCCCTGCCCTGTGCATTTGGGTCTCCTCACCCAGGTGCAGGCATTGAGGTCCGGGTGGAATGCATACCAGCTCAGAGCCCTGTGGTGGATCTTCCGGTTGACCTTTCACTGGTGCCCTCCTGACTGGGTGTGTGTACAGGCTGGGTGTGTGTGCGGGCTGGGTGTGTGTGCGGGCTGGGTGTATGTGCAGGCTGGGTGTGTGTGCAAGCTGGGTGTGTGTGCAGGCTGGGTGTGTGTACAGGCGACTTCTTTTGCCCCCGTCCATGCTGTGGTCCCTGTCAGAGTCTGGGAAACAGCATCCCAAAGCCTTCAGCACTCTGCCTGGAGAAGCTGCTTCCTAAGCTGTTTCTGTGGCAACGGGTGGTTCCATTGGGTCTGAGACAGGGGTTCACCCCACGCTCCCCTCCTTCTGTCAGGAAGCTAGGACAGCTGTGGTCACCTGCAGCAGGCTCCAGGCTTCTTGCTAAGGGCTTTGTGTCCTCTTCTCCTTTTCACAGGTGAGGACACTGAGGCTCAGAGGCAGATCTTTGTTCAAGATCTCACTGCTGTCCTGCACAGGGGTGTTTTGGAGCAAGTGGTGGATTCCCCAGGCCTAGTGCCTGTTCTCCAGCAATCAAGGAGGGTTGCATGGTGGAGGCAGCAGGCTCTTTCCACATCAGACCCCTCTGCTTCCCCAGCAGTTGTTGTGGAGGAAGGAAGGGTAGGAGGGAAGCCCCCAGCTGCTTGAGAAGGAGACATTCCTTCACCTGGGATGGACCTGTCCTCCAGAGCCATTGTCACCCTTCCTTACAGCCATCTGGTTGTAGTCACTGATTTACCATTCTCTACCTGTCTAGCTCTAGAAAGAACTCTAGATGGTGATGATACTGAGCCACATAAGAAAAGTTTATATAAATTTCTAAAAGTTGATAATCTGAAGGGAGGAATTGACTTTAAAGATAGGCTTAAAAAATTGAAGAATCCAGGTGTGGGTGTCACGAGGCTCTAGTCCCAGCACTTGGGAGGCTAAAGCATGCTTGTGAATTCAAGGACAGCCTGGACTACACAGTGAGACCCTGTCTCAAAAACAGACAAACCTGGGCATGGTAATACATGCCTGTAATCCAGCACTTGGGAGACTGAAGCAGGAGGACTGCTGCGAGGCCATCTTAAGATTGTAGGTTCTTTGCTGAGCTTCCTGCAGGCCCATCTGATCTAGAGACAACTCTGTCTGATGATAAAGCCTGGAGTTCTTAATTCTTCGGTTCTTTATGTGACCAGGTGGTGGAAGAATGTGGTGGGCTGTATGATTAGTGCTTAGGCAGATCCTCAGGCCTTTTAGGATAAGTATCAACTAAAGGCTAGTGAATTATGCATGTGTTTCTGATTTTTTTCCATCCTCCCCAGCCTCTGTGGAGAAGGGTGGTGATCGGGGCTGTGAGGAAGGCATGCACCACCACCCTCAGCTTGATCCGTGGGCTCTTGGGCAAGCATAAGAGGTTCAAGAGTAGCATCTTCCATGCAGCGTATGTTTCCAACATAGGGAGCTCAGTCCCTCTTGGGACTGCCCCCTCCATCCTCCAGCACTCAGGAATGTTAGAGGTTTCCCAAGGCCAACCCCTCTGTAGTCAGGGGACAGGACAGAGTCTGAAGTTCATCCTGACCAACCGAGGGGCTGCCTAGGTTGCTGACCTCTGCAGGTTGTGAGAGGGCTCCATTGCTTTGGGATTGCATGTTGAGGACTTGCACAGCTTTCCTTAGCATTGAGACCCATGGGTGGCTCTGTGTCCTTGAGCAGGCCCAGGGGGCCCTACCTGCCCCTGAACAGCTTCACTGGAGAGCACTGTGGCCTTGGTTCCCTGTTTGTGTCGGCAGAGGATAGCAGGGATGTAGCATGTTTGGGAATTCCTTTGTAATTACATAATGACTGTAAATACATCATCCTTAAAAACAAAAACCTAGAAAGACAAAGCTAAAGATGTACTTGGGTCATCCTTTCTATAGGGACAGCTATATTGGAGTGTCGGCAGGCCTTTTTCTGTGCATTTTTTGGTGAGGGGTGTTGAGGTTTTGGGGTTTGTTTTGGTTTTTTTTGAGATAGGATCTTACTTAGTGGTTTACGCTTAGTAGTTTATGAACTTACTTATGTAACTGAGGCTGGCCTAGAACTCACAGTGGTGCTCCTGCCTCAGCCTCCTGAGTGCTGGAATTACAGGTGATGTGGCTTAGTTTTGGTATTTTTTGAGACAGATTCTCACTATATAAAGCTGGCCTTGAACTTGTATGAAGCCTAAGTGGGGCTCAAACTTGTGATCCTTGTGCTTTAGCCTCCTGAGTGCTGAGGTCACAGATGTGCACCACCCCACCTAAGTTTTTCAGTATACTCTAAAAATTTTATCCTATATCCATTGTTCAACAAGTTGCTTTCTTCACACCCTGTGCGTCTGAGCTCTCTTCCTGACAGAACAGCCATGCCTTCTTTTTAACTATGGTAGAGTATTCCACAGGGTCTCTAGCCTCAGCTTATTTAGCCCATTCTTGATTTTTCTAGCAGACTCATGGTTTTTATGTTTTCGTGTTTCTGGTATGGAACCCAGACCCTTGGGCATGCTAGATGAGTGTTTGCTATACCACTGAGCTACATCCCTAGTGCTGATTTATTTTTGTTTTGAGATATGATCTCACAAAGTTCTTCAGGCTGACCTCAAACTTGAGGTTCTCCTGCCTCATCCTATGTAGTAGGTCGGAATATAGACATGTTCTGTTACACCTAGTTCACCATTGCATTTGTTTGATTCTAGTTTTGTTTTTTTTTTGAGACAGGGTCTGTCACCATGTAGTTCAGGTAGACCCTGAACTCACTGTGTATGCCAGGCTAGCCTTGAACTCATGGAGAGCCTTCTGTCTCAGCCCCCCACCCCCATCTGTAACTGGAATTACAGATGTACACCACTATGCCCAGCACTCTCAGTTTTGTACATAGGTTTCCAGTGCTCAAAAATAAAAC